GATGAGAGACGAAACGTTTCTAGATTTTTTTTGCTTTGTTTGCTTTTTTTTTTTTTTTTGAATGTCCAGAGGACCAGATTGAACTTTTTTGGATTTTTCTACCTGGATTATTGAGCATGCATCAGGATATATTGAATCAGTATTTATACAACTAGAAACAAAGAAGATCAGGATTTACGAAGCAAACAATCCTCACCCAAATGATCAGATAACTTGCAGACTGCCCTCCAGCTAGACTCACTGTCTACCATACTGTCTGTTGTGGTTAAAGCCTAATAAACAGTAGTTATGGACGTACCCAGGCATTTGTAGAGGCCCTGGCTTATCCAGGCCAGGATTGCCAATGTTATGAGGTCACCAAAACTGGCTGCGATGGGTGTGGCTACATTGTCTGGATTGATGCCCGTCTTTTTAGAACCCACAATTACTCCAACCATGATGATACCTAGAAAGAAAAGAGAATGATGCAATAACAGTCACTGGAGTTTTCACCTTCCTGTCTTCTTTTTAATTAGTGTGTGATCATTTAAACCAGTTTTACGTTCTTGACAACCAAAGACCATCAGTGTAGGAAGAACTATACAGACTTGAAAACATGCACATTTTTTAATAGATTTGAGTGAAGTGAAAGCCAAACCTGGAGAAATGTATTATTTTTCAGAGACTGTTTAGTTTTAGGGAATACAATAGTCCTTCACTCATCATGGGGTTACGTTCCAGACACCCCCGCAAAGTAGGGACGTTATATTTATTTTAGAGTTTATATACATTTTAAGGCTTTATAAACCCTCCCACACTCTTGCAATGTTCTTAACAATGTTCTAAACTCTTCAAACGCTCTAAAAGAGCACAGTGAAAGCGAGAAGACAGACTGATGCTACTGTCACTGAGCCAATCAGCGCCTGGGATACAAAGCACAATGCTCTGATTGGTCGCCTTCCATCAATCAGCCAATCGTGTGTTGTGTATAATCTTACAATGAAAACCCGCAAAACAGTGAGTCTGCAAAAGTTGAACCGCAAAGTACTGAGGGACTACTGTAATCAATTTCATTCCCAAAGCAATGATGTTTTTCTCTCAAGGGGGAAGGGAGAGAAGGTGAATGCAGGAGTTCACAGTGATTCCACTGGATTGAAGTAACAGAACGTCTGTCTTCTTCTTAATGAAATTCAGAAAATGTAATGTCATCCAACTTTTAATGCCAGTTGGCTGCCAGTACAGTATAAACCACTTGATACAATTCTAATGTGTCTAAAGACCTTATCAAGAACCTGCAAAGACATGCACTGGCTGTTCTGTACATTGTAGTGAGGTTGTCATTCATTCTGAATGAGGCCTAAGTTTAAGAAAAGTCTGTCCTGCTACATTAGTATTGAATCTGACACAACAGCAATCTGCCCAGCATTCGGGTGGTCCTACAGCCCGGGGGAACCGAGAGGCCAGCTGAGACTGGGTGGACGGATCGGACGGCATCTGCAGCCAGTTTCTTAGGATCCACTGTGGGACGGACCTTTATAAGAGATCCTTCATGCCTACAGCCATCAGTATCTATAACATCTCTTAATGAAATGAGGATAACGAGTTACAACAACAAATAATTTCTCTTTGGGATTAATAAAGTGTTTTTTAATTTAATTTAATTGAATTGAACACTCACGTTCAGGCTGCTGTTTAATACACCGTATTATATTATATTATTATTGTTTATCGAATCTCTTAGATCCTTGTATATAGTTTATTTTTTATACTTCAGATTTTTGCTATATTTGGGTGTAAAGGGACCTTGAGTGCACAATTTCGTTCAACCTCATGGATCACATGATGCAAATGACAATAAAGAACCTTGAATATTGAATACTTGTACTGAATTAAATATAAGATGAGATGAAACCAGTACGCATACCAAAAGAATCGATCAAGAGAAGACGCCATCTCCTCTGTGGTTAACACTGCTCTCACCCACCTGGAGCAGAAGGACTCCTACGTCCATATGCTCTGTGTGGATCTCACTTCTGCCATCAATACCATGCTTGCTCAGACCCTGATGGACAAACAATTCACACTAGGACTAAGCCCCTCCGTTTGCAACTGGGTCCTGGATTTCTTAACCAACAGACCACAGTCAGTGAGGATCCACAACTTCTCCTCCTCCACCATAACCCTCAGCACTGGCTCTCCTCAGGGCTGTGTGATGAGCCCTCTCCTGTTCACTTTGCTCACGTATGACTGTGCAGCTACCCATCTAGGCTGTCACATTGTAAAGTTTGCAGATGATACAGTGGTGGTGGGATGCATCACAAACAATGATGAGTCCAGCTACAGGCAGGAGGTGGAACACCTGGAGAGCTGGTGCAAAGAAAATAACCTTCACATCAATGTGAAGAAGACAAAGGAGATGACTGTGGACTTTAGATGGAACTGTAGTGAACTAAGCCTCAGGTCAAATCCTGACCTTGAGGGCCTTCCTGGGACAAGAACTGTATTTCATTGATTTGAGTCCAGAAACACAAATCAAGTCCATCCAGAGACTGTCTAAGTGTCCTGCACTGATCAATTGAAAGAACACTCTCTTTTTCTATTATCATTACTATCTTACAAATGTCTTGATAATCAAAGTGTGTTTAGTTCAAACCATTTTTAAATGTTGAAGTGAACTACTCATTTTAAATCAACTGTGAAACAGTATTAGTGATTTTTTAATCCTCATTCAAAGTAGAAATCAAGTTAGAATGTGTTACGGAGTAATTTATGCATTTTCTGATTTTCTGTCTGAAATGAGCAAGTGTAAGTTGGTCCAAGGTTGGAGGCAAGAAAACAAGTTGTTGGAACGAACTGTCATGTTTTTATATCCTCTCAGACGTAAATAGAGAAGCTGGCACCTGTTTTCCCCCAACTCGCCTAAACATTTCTCTCGTCTGTCTCAAAAACATCTTCTGTCCGTTCCAAAACAATTTTTCTGTTTTTCTGACTTTTAATAACCTCTTACATCACTAAAACACACCCCTGTTTGGTCGATCGACCAATCAGGAACTTCCCAAATGAACCGGAAATAGAACTCTTTAAATGTCGGCACTTCCTAGTTCCAGCAGTCGTGTGCGGTGGGAGAGCAGTTCGGTTCGGAGAGCAGTACCGAACAGAAAAGTGCTGGAGAGTTCAGGAGGTTCCAGACATGATCCGGAGTTCTTCCGAGTCTCGTGGGAATTATGCAATCTTCCACATCTGAGTGGAACTCTGACGGACTCACAACTCATGTGAGCCCAACCGGGAGGTGAACGTGTGTCGAACAAGTACCGTCACTACTCCGGACGTTTCCCCGACATCCTACGGAGACGCTGGAAATGGTAGCGTTAAATGGGACTCCGTACCAGCTGATTCATCTTCAGAGAGGTAACGAGTCGATTTCCTACTGAAGCGTACCGAGATGAAACTGGGGTCGAATGGAGAGTGCCATTCTTATACCGACACATTTCCCTCATCCATCCTTTCTCTCCATTTAAACTTCATTTTCCCATCTTTAAAACTCTTCTATCCTGCCAGCAAATCATTCCAGATATTTTCAGAAATGTCTGTTGTAAAGCTGCAAGGATACCATGTTTATGGTTTCCTAGTTGTGAAGCTAATTAATTAAGCTGTTGTTGAAATCAATTTTGCCAAATTAATGTTTGATGTTAAACTTTGATTCTGTTAATAAATGACCGCATTCATTTGATGGGTCAAAGAAAATTAACGTCTCACGTTACATTTAATAATTTCAATGCACGATATTATTCAGTCCAGAAAAATGAAAGAATCCGTTTAATTTATGAATATATCACAGATATATGTTCCTCTACAGAACAAACACACCTACACCCTCCTGAACATAAGAGGATCTGTGGTGGAAGTGGTCTCCAGCTACAAGTAAATGGTAAATGGACTGTACTTATATAGCGCCTTTCTATCTAATCAATACACTCAAAGCGCTTTACATTACAATCTGTGTCCTCATTTACCCATTCATACAGCACTCTACTAGATCTCTACAAAGCTAATTGAACAAATCATTCTAAAGAGACTAATCAGTGCTTTATCACATTCATAAACCGATGGGACACACATCAGAGGCTATGAGGGGTTCAGTGTCTTGCCCAGGGACACTTTGGCATGTGACTGCTGGTGGATTCGAACCCCCAACTCTTGCATCGGAGGACGACTGCTCTAACCACTCAGCCACAGCTGCCACAAGTACTTGGGTGTACACCTGAATGACAACCTCAGCTGGAGCAACAACACCACCAGCCTGATCAAGTAAGATCATCAGAGACTCTACTTCCTCAGGTGGCTAAGACGAGCTGGTCTGGGAAGCTCAGTCCTCACCTCCTTCTACAGGTGTGCAGTGGAGAGCATCCTGTGCTCCAGCATCAACGTGTGGCATGGAGGCTGCACAGTTGCAGAAAGAAAAGATTTGCAGAGAGTGGTGAAGGCTGCACAGAAGATGTTGGAGTCAGTCTCCCCACCATCACAGACATCTACACCTCCAGATGCAGGAAGAGGGCCGCCTGCATAATGAAGGACCCTACTCACCCAGCACATACACTTTTTGCCCCGCTCCCCTCAGGAAGGAGGTTGAGGAGCATTAAGTGAAGAACCACTAGACTGAAGAACAGCTTCTACCCTGAGGCTGTTAAGATTCATGAATATCTAACCAGAAAAATCACAGTGAAAAAAATCACATCATGTTTCTGCTGATCTGTTTCATGTTGCTACTGATCTGTTTCAATGTTGATGCAGATCTTTTTCATGTTGATGTGTTCATTCATGCTCATCTGCTCACACAGACTCATGTTTGTGCTGTTGTTCAGCGTAATGATTTTGTGCTATTAGTGCTTATCTAAAAAAAGTTAAATCAGGTCATCAGGACTCTGTACCACAGAGCAAACAGCGTCCCCACTAACTCAGGAACCAGGCAGAAGGAGAAATCCCACACAAGACAGGCTCTAGAACAATGTGGATATCCTAACTGGGCCTTCCTGAAAGCAGAGAAGAAACC